AGACCGCGTGAATCCAGAAACCAACAGTCTTATCTTCTTTATTCCTGTTTGCTGTGGCCCTCTCCATCCTCACTGGCTGAGCTGCAGATATCTGCATTTTTCTGACTAGCTGGCTTCACTTATGACTGCAGACAAAAAAAGAGTAAAACATAAAACTACTGGTTAAAAGTATTGATTTTCTATCATTTAGAAGTTTTGCTTTAGCATTTTTAATTATTATGACATGAGTTGTAATTTTAACACCATGTATTTAATTGAAATAGGAGAAATATCAGATGTTTAATAAATCACAAACATTTGGAATGTTTTAATAAACTGTAAACCTCAGTTTATACATAAAAAATGTTTATTTAGATGTTGAGGACGACACAAATCATTGATGATGTGTAACTAAACTTCATTTTTTGATTCAACAAACAAGTACAAAGTCTCAAGTCCTTTTACCTTGTAGTATCACAGTAATATTTGAGCACGGCAAACAAAAGCTGTATTTAAGGCTTGAGTCACAAAGAAAGCACAAAGCTGACCCGCAGAGCCTGACAGGAAATGGATGTAACAGTGATTTTTACACTGTTGTTAATCTGCTCTCTTACTGAGGCTCAGCTTCAACAACAACCTGATCCTGACTCAAATTCATATTTGAAGCCAGCAGGTTCCCATGTAGAAGCAGGAAATCCCTCAGAGCACCAACAAACATGTACACAGGACATCAATGCTGTACTGAGAGAGATGAGCGCCTCGCTGGCTGGACTGAAGGTGGAGGTGAAGTACTTACAGAAAGAAAATGAAGGTATGTTGACTAAGTACAGCTAGAGTAACTTAATAGAAATAATACTGATGCTTGATCTTTTTTTTCCTAAACACTAACAGCTAAAACACGAGAACTGGAGCTGCAGAAGCAACAGGACCAAGGTATTGGAAACAATGAAAAAAACAGTAGATGTAAAAGTTACAAATCAGGAATAAGAAGGGCCTCTTTACTGTTAAGTGCTACTTTTGGTTACTGTTTAAAAACCAGTTAATTGTTTTCTTAATTTTTTAGCAAATAAAAAAGAACTGGAGCTGCTGAAACAACAGGACCAAGGTATTCACTCACCAGCACGCTTGTGACATTATGTTGACTAAGTACATCTAGAGTAACTCAATAGAAATAATACTGATGCTTGATCTTTTTTTCCTAAACACTAACAGCTAAAACACAAGAACTGGAGCTGCTGAAGCAACAGGACCAAGGTATTGGAAACGATGAAAAAAACAGTAGATGTAAAAGTTACAAATCAGAAATAAGAAGGACCTTTTTACTTGTAAGTGCTACTTTTGGTTACTGTTTAAAAACCAGTTAATTGTTTTCTTAATTTTCTAGCAAAAGAAAAAGAACTGGAGTTACAAAAGAGAGAGCTGGACAAGTTGAAGCAACAGGACCAAGGTATTTACTGTTCATCATTTATTGTTAAGTAAACTAATGGCTTTTTAAAACATTACACATCTATATTAATCAGGACAAAAACAAAACAAACAATGTTCATCTTTAAAAGACCCTAGTCAAATTGTTCATGTATAATGTACAGTGAAAGCTGTCTGGTTTAAATTTTTTTTTTTGCCATCTTATTGATTTTGCTTTCTGTAATTTCAGCTCATGAAGGAGAACTGATCACCATTAAAGCCTCCGCAAACATCACTAAAAACCAAGTGGAGGCTCTGAGGAGAGAAGGAGAAGGTTTGTTAACCCTCTGGAGGCAGATGTTGCAGATTTGCATTGTTAAAACCTACCTACCTGGTTACTCCACATACGTATTTCATGAGCAGTTTCAAACTCAGAAGTAGCCCTGAAGGACTTAGTTGTTCATCCTTTTATCAAAACTTATTTTGAGCCTGAGAGGGTTAATGTACTGTACATACATACTGGTGGTGCTCTCTCTCCGAGTGTGTGTGTGTGTGTGTGTGTGTGTGTGTGTGTGTGTGTGTGTGTGTGTGTGTGTGTGTGTGTGTGTGTGTGTGTGTGTGTGTGTGTGTATTACTGGATTCTAAAAGGTTTTAGAAATGGACAATGGTTTAGCTTATTCAAAAATGTCATCAATACTATTTTAGTGAGACTAAACCTCTATATGCATAATTCTGAGAAACTAATAAAGTTTTTGTCTCTCAGTGAAACAAGTGGCTTTCTCAGCCTCTCTGATGGACTCAGGCCATGGAGATGTTGGACCTTTTAATGCAAAAACAACTCTGGTCTTCAGACATGTTGTTACTAATATTGGAAATGCCTACAACCCAAATACAGGTACTCAGTTTCACTAAATACTAGTAATAATACATTCATACATCTTCTGCTACTCCAGTAAGAATTGAGGGGAACTGTTTTTATCTCCAGTCCATCATGGACGTGTAACACCCTCCTTCCCTCACACTTAGTGAATATTTAGACTAGCCACATAACCTAACATGCATGTTTTCATAAAACAATTTTACAGGATTTTTCATCGCACCTGTGAGAGGAGTCTATCACTTTGTGTTACACATACATGGACATGGACATGCTTCACATCCTACAGGAGCCGTGTTGTTTAAGAATGGAGAAAAGACCTTCATTGCTTACGAGCAGCAGCCTTCCCACTTTGCTAGCACTGCCAACAGTATCACACTGCTGTTGGAGGTTGGAGATGTTGTGTTTCTGCGTCAGTGGGAAAATACAAGGGTGTTTGACAATGACAACCATCACACCTCCTTCAGTGGTCACTTGGTTTTCACCATGTAAGCAACAAATGTTAGAAAATCAGATGTTTTATTAGATCATTTCACACATCCAGCAAATTTATACATATTCATCACCCCCCCAGCATAGAAAAGAACAGCCACTTTTCTGATGAGCTAGTTTGTTTGATCTAAACCAGACAAATTAGCAGCAAATCAAATCAGCTCAACTTGCCTAATTTATTTCTTTTCACCTTGCAAAGATTTTATTTAGCTCCATAGAAACTGATGGTCAAATACTGCTCAATTCATAGAAATGAACATGTTTTATATGCTTGAATGACTTACTGTATGTGCTTGTTTTTATGTTTTAAAGCGCAAAGTAAAATCCTCATTTAAGTAAACTGCATTTGTAACAAATAGTGATGTGTCGGTCGCGAACGAACCGGCTCTACGAAGTGAACGACGTGAGCCGGCTCGTCATTGGGAGCCGTCCCCCCTTCCCCTCTTGTCTTGGTGAAAGCCACAGGCGATTGGTCAACATGTGCAACTGCGTGTCCAGACTGTCCACTCACAGAGCAGTAGGGGTGGGGAAGAGGGAGGATCAGACTCAGACACACAGCAGAGCACATACGGGCGGAGGAAGACGAGAGGGAATGAGGAGGAAAAAGGTGAGCGAGAGAGAGGAGAGTGCGACGAAGACGGTGAGAAAATGAGCGACAGCAGTCGGAAAGTTGAGATTTCTTAAAGTGTTCAGTTAATAAATCCATATAAAGGATAAATATTTGGTATATAGCATTTTTTACATTAGTAAATCATTTTACATATAGTTGTGCATTATTTTTTGTGATAAATATACTTTACGCAACAGAAACTCTGAGGAGCCACTTGGTAGCCGAAAGAGCAGGCTCTTTTTGGTGAGCTGAGCCAAAAGAACTGGCTCTCTAAAAAGAGCCGCAATTCCCATCACTAGTAACAAAACTGAATCCAGCCTAAACCCCTTCTGTTTAATTAGTTTGGAATAATTTGTAGGTGTGGTGCTGGAATTTCAGCCGTAGTGCAGTGCCACACCTGGGAAACACCGACTACTTTATGAAACAGCTGAACGTCACTACGGTCCCATTACTCGGAATGGAACCCTTTCTCACGGTGCAAAATTAACACCAACCCAAAATAACACCCAGCAACTAACTACAACATCCAACAAAACCCAACCCTAGCAGTAAAACCCCCAACAAAACACATGAAAACACACCAAAATAGAAATAATCAACTGAAAACCGGCTACCCACAATGCACCTTGCCCATGGATGGTGAACATGTGCATTGGCCTTTGTTTGGGCAGCCAGCTCATGTGGCTATCGCGTTGGGCGATCGGTATCAGCAGAGGGACAAAACTCTTTGAATTTACTCAACAATGTTTTGTTGACATAGCTCAATGGTTTAGTGTAGAAACAGAAATTAACAGTATTACATTACAATTGCTCAAGCACATTACCAATCTTTGCAAAATCAAGTTTATTAAGTAGCTACAACAAAATGAACTGTATTAAAAGCAGCAATAGGCAGAGTTCGTTTTTTTGGGTGTAGGTGTCACGTCTCGTGTCTCCTGCATCCCTTCTTGTCTCTTTCCCTGGCTGTGTCATTTAGATTCATTCTAGTTCTTGTCTCTTTCATTTCTTAAATATCCAGTTTTCAGGCAATATTAGACAGGCATCTTCTCTGGTCGTTTTTAAGTCCCTCCTCAAGACTCTTGATGTACTTTGTAATCAGGTCCTGGACGTGGTTGCCCCTCTCAAGCTTTGCAAGTCTCGGCCTAGGAGGGAGCCATGGCTCTCTGATGTCACACGGGCTTTTAGGCGGGCGTGTAGATCCTCTGAGAGAAAGTGGAAAAAGGATGGCCTACAGGTCTCGCGTGAGTTGTTCAGAGCATCTCTGGTTGCTTATCAGGATGCAGTGAGGGCTGCCATAATGGCCTATTTTGCAGACATCATTGAGACAAACTCCAATAATCCTAAGATTCTCTTCAAAACGCTAAACTCAGTTCTGGTGTATCAGGAGCCTAGCTCCATGTCTCCTACAGCTGCTGGAAACTCTGAAGCTTTTCACAAATTCTTTGTTGATAAAGTGTCGGGCATTAGAGCAGTCATTTCTGGTAACTTTGTTGACCCTGTTCCAGTTCATCCATTACCACCCACCCTGAGCTCCCTCAATACAGTTTCATACTCTGAGCTGAGTAAGCTTGTTGCGAGGCAGAAGCCATCTGGCTCTCCACTTGATGTTCTACCGCCTCGTCTCTGGAAGGCTGCCTTTCCGTGCCTTGGCCCATCACTTGGTCAGATTATCAATGGGAGCCTCAGCACAGGTGTGGTCCCAGCTGCTTTGAAAGCAGCAGTTATTCGGCCGACCCTGAAGAAACCTGGTGCTGATGTCTCTGTGATCGAAAATTACAGGCCTATCTCTACCCTGCCCTTTACATCTAAACTGCTTGAGAAAGTCGTTTATCAGCAGCTGGTCTCACATTTAGCTGACTCTGATCTGTTTGAGGTTTTCCAATCAGGGTTCAGGTCTGGCCATAGCACAGAGTCAGCTCTACTGAGGGTCCTAAATGACATCTATCTATCACTAGATCAGGGAACATCTGTGCTGCTTCTGTTATTAGACCTGACAGCAGCCTTCGACACAGTTGACCATGCGATTCTACTTGATCGCTTGGAACGATGGGTTGGGATCAAAGGGTCAGCTCTGGATTGGTTTAGATCGTATCTCCAAAACAGGACATTCTGTGTTAAACTGGGTGATGTTTTTTCTTCTTGGGAGGGGCTCCGGTGGGGGGTCCCGCAGGGGTCGATCCTTGGTCCACTTTTGTTTGCCATTTATCTGCTACCTCTGGGGTCAATCTTTCGTAAACATGGCCTATCATTCCATCTGTATGCTGACGATTGCCAGATTTACTCTCCATTGTGTCAGGAGAAAGGTCACTCTATTCAGTCCTTTGTCTCCTGTGTTAATGAGGTGAAGTCTTGGCTAATGTCCAACTATCTACATCTGAATGAGGGAAAGACAGAGCTCATTGTTTTTCACTCCAACAGCAGGAATGTGGATCGTTATGCTGATCTTGGCCCTCTTTCTCCATACTCAAAACCAGTTGTTACCAGTTTGGGGGTGAAACTTGATGTAGGACTTAAATTTGATGCTCACATCAATTCTGTGATCCGGTCCAGTTTCTTTCACCTGAGACGCCTTGCTAAAATCAAGCATATGCTGTCGAGAGCCCACCTGGAGCGGGTACTGCATGCCTTTGTAATTTCTCGGCTTGACTACTGCAACTCTCTATATGCAGGGTTGTGTCAGTCAACACTGCGTCGCCTACAGGTTGTGCAGAACAGCGCTGCCAGGTTCCTGACTGGGACCAGGAAACGGGACCACATCAGTCCTGTTCTGGCCTCCCTGCACTGGCTTCCGATTTCCTATCGCTCACAATTCAAAATACTCGTCTTTGTTTATCATATCTTCCAGGGTGGTGCTCCCCCCTATCTGGCCACACTCCTGAACAGACACTCCCCATCACGCGCTCTGCGCTCCTCTGACCAAGGCCTGCTCGCTGTCCCTCGGTCTAGGTGTCGTACCCGTGGGGACCGGGCTTTCTCAGTCCTAGCTCCGTTACTCTGGAACCAGTTGCCACCCTCAGTTAGGCTGTCCCCTTCTCTGACAGTCTTTAAGAATCACCTAAAAACACACCTCCTCCGCTTGGCGTTTCCAGAACATGTTTGATTATGGCCCTCTATTATGTTGAATCCATTCCACAGTTTTCAATGGTACACTCAATCCATCCACTCAATCCAATTGTGTTTCACACATTTGTATTTTACCGGAATGTTTCATCTATCTTGTAATTTCCATTTTGTATTTTGTAATTTGTATTTTGTAATTTGAATTTCTTTTATTGTTGATTTATTCAATATAATTACTTACAACTGTACCATGTTAAGCGCTTTGGGCTTCCTGACAGGGTTGCGGAAGGCGCTTTATAAATAAAGCTTTGATTTGATTTGATTGAAGACTCACTGTTATTCACTGGCTTTTAACACTGACTGATTATTCTTATCCACTCCTGTTTTAAGCAGTGTTGAGTTTAATTTCTTTTACAATGTTTTCGTATGTTTTAATATATTATCCATGTTTTTATTGTTTTTAATTATGTCGCTCTGTTTTTATCTGTGTGTGAAGCATTTTGGTCGAAAGTGCTACACAAATAAAGGTGGATTGGATTGGATGGTGTTTCTAGTTTATTCTGGTGTTTCAGTTGTCATGTATGTTGTTTAGGTATTTTCTCCCCAGCCCTACTGTGTCTCTAGTTCTGTAGTTTCAGGTTAAGTAGTTAACTTATCTTTAGTTTTCTTAGATTTATTCTCCAGCCCTCCAGTTTGTTGCTCACTGGTTTTTGTTCTTCAGTTTAATTAAGTTCAGGCTTTTTTAGTGTTTGTGTTTCCCTTTGCAACCTTTTAGTCCATCTTAGTTTGTTGTGTTCATTTTCATCATGTTAGTTTCAGCCTCCTGCTTATTTTACCTCCTCAGTCGGTTCATTGG